AGAATATAGAGCACGTGGGCAACTGAGAGCAACTGGGTATTTTCAGTTGCTTTCAATCGCAGGAGGACTTATGTAGCCTTCAGTCGCACAAATCTCAGTGCTCTCAGTTGCTGACAGTTGCTTGCCAGTTGCAAAAGTTCAATTGATGTCAGTTGAGTTGAGTCGTAGGGGCAACATAAGCCCGGCTTAAGGCCTATACCTATGTTCTCTCCAACTAAGGGAGAAAATTCTGCTTCATTGTTCAAAAAGGTGTCGATATTTAAAGTTTTTTTTAGATTGTTGTAGTTGTTGTGGTACAATGAAAAAAAAATGTATGTGTCCCCTTAATAAGGGTTACAATGAAAAGAATTTAAGTATCCTGTTAATAGGGGTTATTTGACCATTTGGCACATTATAAGGTATATAAGTATACATTAATATTATTATTATGTATCTATCCTAAACAATAATTGTCAAAAATATTTTTTAATCCACAGGATTTCAATTCAAGATGGCTACCAGTAAGATGGATCAATTTCTGGAAAATGTTGATGAGAAGGTCTTGGAGTGTACCATCTGCTTTAAGAGACTTCAAAATCCAAAATCCCCCAACTGCCTCCATAGTTTTTGTTTGGCATGCCTGGAAGACTGGGTTAAGACTAAGGGTCAGCTAACTTGCCCAACTTGCTCAAAATTATATCCAATTCCGGAGGGTGGGCTTCAGAAGCTTCCACCAAATACCTTTCTAAATAATTTATTAGAAACTATCGAACAATTTTCAGAGAGAGATCAGATGAAATGTAGTGTTTGTGAAAAGGATGAACAGGTAAAATACTACTGCCAGGATTGCAGACAGTACTTGTGCTCTACTTGTAGCGACTATCATAAGCAGTATAGACTCTTTACAAATCACAAGTTACATTTAATGGAGGATGTGCAATCAATGAGCCCCTCTCAGATGACTTTGTTACATCCGCCTCTGTGTTCACATCACAGTAAACCTTTGGAGTTCTACTGCACAGATTGTAAAACTCCAATCTGTGTGAACTGTACAATTGTGGACCACAATGCATGGGATGGAAAACACAAATCAATCAACATTTCAGATGCATTCCAAACATTTAGAGGAACTTCAGCTACCTTGGAAAAATCTGCCCAATACTTTGTAAACAAATTAGAAGATGGTCTCAAAGCTGTTATTCAGAATGCTACAAAATTAGACCAATGTAAAGACACATGTTTGAGAGACATAGACAATCACGTTGAAGAAATATTCAAAAAAGTAAAAGAGAATAGAGACAAAATTAAAAACGAAGTAGAGA